TTTCAATATCCTACATATGGTGTTACAGTTATCCTTGTTAATTTGGTTTTACGTTGAATCCTTGACAACATTAATTTCAATTTCACCTTTTCTGCATTGTAATCCTTTATAATATCCATATTTAAGGTTTTTCGAGAAAACTTTGATATTGGATACTCATGTAGAATTATTATCTCACAAAGTACATCTCTAATTGTTTGTTGATTGAACACATCATGGGTGAACTTATCGTGGGTGAACTTATTGTGGATGAACTATTTAGTGAACTTATCATTGGGTGAACTTATCCTGTGTGAACTTATCGTTCGGAGAAGTTATCATTCGGTAAACTTATCATTGGGTGAACTTATCGTTTGGTTAACTTATTTTTTGTTGAACTTATCATTTGGTGAACTTATTGTGGCTCAACTTATCATGGATGAATTCATCGTGGGTGATCTTATCGTGGGTGATCTTATCGTTGGATGAACTTATCGTTGGGTGAACTTATCGTTGGGTGAACTTATCGTGGGTGAACTTATCGTGGGTGATCTTATCGTGGGTGATCTTATCGTGGGTGATCTTATCGTGGGTGAACTTATCATGGGTGAACTTATCGTTGGGTGAACTTATCGTTGGTGATATTATCGTAGGTTAACTTATCATTGGTAAACTTATGGTGGGTGAACTTATCATGGGTGAACTTATCGTGGTTGAACTTATCGTGGGTGAACTTATAGTGGGTAAACTTATAGTGGGTAAACTTATCGTGGGTGATCTTATCATGAGAGAACTTATCGTTGGTGAAATTATCATGGGTGAACTTATGGTGGGTGAACTTATCCTGGGTGAAATTATCCTGAGTGAACTTATCATGAGTGAAGTTATCGTGAGTGAAGTTATCGTTTGGTGAAGTTATCGTTTGGTGATGTTATCGTTTGGTGATGTTATCGTTTGGTGAATTTATCGTTTGGTGAATTTACGTTTGGTGAATTTATCGTTTGATGAAGTTATCGTTTGATGAATTTATCGTTTGGTGAATTTATCGTTAGGTGAACTTATTGTTGGTGAACTTATCGTTGGTGAACTTATCGTTGGTGAACTTATCGTGGGTGAAATTATGGTGGGTGAATTTATCGTCGGTGAACTTATCGTCGGTGAACTTATTGTGGGTGAACATATCGTTGATGAACTTATCGTGGGTGAACTTATCGTTTGGTGAACTTATCGTTGGGTGAACTTATCGTTGGGTGAACTTATCGTTGGGTGAACTTATCGTGGGTGATCTTATCGTGGGTGATCTTATCGTGGATGATCTTATTGTGGGTGATCTTATCGTATGTGAACTTAACGTGGGGGAACTTATCGTTTGGTGAACTTATCGTTTGGTGAAATTATCGTTTGGTGAAATTATCGTTTGGTGAGCTTATCGTTTAGTGAACTTATCGTTGGGTGAACTTATCGTTGGCTGAAATTATCGTTGGGTGAACTTATCGTTGGGTGAACTTATCGTTGGGTGAACTTATCTTGGGTGACCTTATCGTGGTTAAAGTTATCGTTGGTGAACTTATCGTGGATGAACTTATCGTGGGTGAACTTATCGTTTGGTGAACTTATCGTTTGGTGAACATATCGATTGACGAACTTATCGTTCGGTGAACTTTTCGTTTGGTGAACTTATCGTGGATGAACTTATTGTGAGTGAGCTTATCCTGAGTGAACTTATCGTGGGTGAACTATCGTTGGTGAACTATCGTTGGTGATCTTACCGTGGGTAATACTATCGTGGGTGATCTTATCGTTTGTGATATTATCTTGGGTGAACTTATCGTGGGTGATCTTATCGTGGGTGATCTTATCATGTGTGATCTTATTGTGGGTGAGCTTATCGTGGGTGAACTTATCGTTTGGTGAACTTATTGTTTGGTGAACTTATCGTTTGATGAACTTATCGTTTGGTGAACTTTCGGTTTGGTGAACTTATCGTTGGGTGAACTTATCGTGTGCGATCTTATCATAGGTAACCTTATCGTGGGTGATTTTATCGTGGGTTATGTTATCATAGGGTAACTTATCGTAGGTGAACTTATCGTTCGGAGAAGTTATCATTCGATAAACTTATCATTGGGTGAACTTATCTTGGGTGAACTTATCGTTTGGTTAACTTATCTTTTGTTAAACTTAACATTTGGTGAACTTATTGTGGCTCAACTTATCGTGGATGAATTTATCGTGGGTGATCTTATCGTGGGTGATCTTATCATGGGTGAACTTTTCATAGATGAACTTATCGTGGGTGAACTTATCGTGGGTGAATTTATCGTGGGTGAACTTATCGCGGTTGAACTTATCGGGAGTGAACGTATCGTTTGGTGATGTTATCGTTTTGTGAAGTTATCGTTTGGTGAATTTATTGTTTGGTGATTTTATCGTTTAGTGAATTTATCATTTGTGAACTTATCGTTGGTGAACTAATCGTTGGTGAACCTGTCGTTGGTGAACTTATCATGGGTGAACTTATCGTAGGTGAACTTATTGTGAGCGAACTTATCGTCTGGTGAACTTTTCGTTTGGTGAAATTATTGTGGGCGAATTTATCGTCTGATAAACTTATCGTTTGGTGAACTTATCGTTTGGTAAATTTATCCTTTGGTGAACTTATCGTTGGATGAACTTAGCGTTAGGTGAACTTATCTTTGGGTGAACTTACTGTTGGGTGAACTTATCGTTGGGTGAACTTATCTTGGGTGATCTTATTGTGGGTGAACTTATTGTAGGTGAACTTATCGTGGGTGAACTTATGGTTGGTGAACTTATGGTGGGTGAACTTATGGTGGGTGATCTTATCGTGGTTGATTTTATCGTGAGTTATCTTATTGTGGGTGAACTTATTGTGGGTGAACTTATCGTGGGTGAATTTATCGTGGATGAACTTATCGGGGGTGAACTTATGATGGGTAAACTTATCGTGGGTGAACCTATCGTGAGTTATCTTATCGTGGGTGAACTTATCGTGAGTGAACTTATTGTGGATGAACTTATGGTGGGTGAACTTATCGTTGATGAACTTATCGTGGATGAACTTATCGTGGGTGAAATTATCCTGAGTGAACTTATTGTCGGTGAACTTATCGTGGTTGAACTTATCGTTTGGTCAAGTTATCATTTGGTGAATTTATCGTTTGTTTAATTTATCGTTTGGTGAATTTATCGTTTGATGAAGTTATCATTTGGTGAATTTATCGTTTGGTGAATTTATCGTTTGATGAATTTATCGTTTGGTGAATTTATCGTTGGTGAACTTTTCGTGGTTAACTTATCGTGGGTGAACTTATCGTGGGTGAATCTCCTACATTTGGTTCTACCAATTATCCTTGTTCAATTGGTTCGACATTGAATCCTTGACAACATTAATTTCAATTTCTCTTTTTTTACATAGTAATCCTTCTTAATATCCTTTTTTATGATGTTTTGAGAAACCATTAACATTGAATACTCTTGTAGAATTATCATCTTATGAAGTACATCTCTAGTTGTTTGTTGATTGAATACATAATTGCCAACAAATACGGTTTCACCATCTTCTTTATGAATTTTTAAAAATGATTGTATGATGTCCCATATTATTGGAAGCTTGCAATTCTTGAAATGATTTATCAAATGTGATGTCTCTTGCCTTGTGTCACCCAAAATACTTTTGGAACAATAATTGCACCTCGTTTTTCCATTTTGCATCGACCTTTTGTCTCTTAAGATGTTTCAAAACATCTAACATTAATCTTCTTAAGTTAACCGTAGGAGTTGAATTTTGGATTTTACTTGAAATTGAATCTATTGAAATATCATTTTAATTTGAATCTCTTTATTCTACAAATTATCCTTATTCATCATCATCCATATTAGAAAATGTATCTTAAATAGACAATTCTAGTAATAAATCAAAAAACACAAATAAATATGTTGTATAATAAATAGTTACAAGTTTAATCAACCAAATCATAAAAATCAATAAATACGGTCCACAAAAAACAATGGAAAAGAAAACAAGATAAAATTGATATTTCATATGTCTATGGGATGTAGTAAAAAAAATTGATGTGTGAAATAGCCAACTCTTGGAAATAATTCGACTGTCCTTGGCTATAATAAAAAAGAGAATGGAAATTTCTTCCTGCACTGCTATGATTTTTTCTGCACTCCCATATTTTTTAAAATTTTAATTATACCTCGGCAGAAATTATTAATAAGGGATAGTGTGAGATTTTTTTGTGTGTTTTAATTATAATTTCAGATTGTTAAATCTATAAATATTTTGAATTGTATAATATATGATATTTATATTTCAAATTATGATATTTATATTTCAAATTATGATATTTATATTTCAAATTATGATAATTTGGAATGCAAATTACATTATAAATTATACTGTCTGTATTGTAAAATTATATTTTATATTGTACTATTCGTAATATAAAGATAATTCAAAATTATAATTATATTTTGATTGCATAATTCACAATGCAAATTTGCATTTTGAATGTATAATTTGTAATAAAAATTTGAAAGATAATATGAAATTTAAATTATATTTTAAGTTGTATAATTCGTAATGTAAATATATATTCCAAATTATACCGTTTGTATTGGAATTGGAAGACAGTCTATATATTGTATTGTATAATTTGTAATACAAATTTATAATTTAAATTATATAGTTCGTAATACAAATTTTAAAACAAATCTAAAATGTAAATTATATTTTAAATTATAAAATTCATATTATAAATTTACATTTCGAATTATAGAATATATAATACAATTTGGAAAAAAATTTAAAATAAAAATACATTATTGTGCACTTCATAATACAATTTTGAAAGACAGCAAATTTTTTAATAAGGACATTTCACTATTGGGTGCATGAAGAAAACATGGAGTTGCAGGAAGAAATTCCCCAAAAGAATGTTAAGATGGGTCTATCTATATTTCTATTTCCCGGAAGATGGATCCTAAAATCTCGTCTACAACCCCAATTAGGTTTGTAAGAGTATGAATGTTATCACAGTATATTCAGTATATACAATGTATCTTCATTCCAAAATGTAATCCTTGTCTCTATTCGATCAGAGTTTTTTCACTGTGAGTGTTTCTCAATCATCCTGATTCTGCTACATTTTCCGAACCCCTTTTTCACTGTATGGTTTTTGGTACTCTGATTATTAAATTAAAGTTTTCTTCTGGTGTTGTTTGTTGCAGCATTCACTTTCAGGATTGTGTTCTTACCTGGAATTACTTCATAGCTTGACATGGTAACTCTCAGAGAGTCTTAATTTCGAATTGTATTTTTTGGGTTTTGAGTGTAATTAGTGATTTCTTTGCTTGTTTGGTTAGGCATTCTTCAAGAAAAATATGCTTCCTGCTTGCAATTGGGTTGTTTTGCATTTTTTTTTTGTTTATGGATTATGGTTTGATGGACAGAATAAGTGCCAGCGATTTCAGGCTTGGCTTCTAAACTTGTTTGAGGGGTTGCTGACCATCCAATTGAGTTTGGTGGGATTTCTTGAGTTCTTAGCTGGTTTTGGGACTCATCAATATTCTTTGATGTGATCGAAATTGAAAATGATTAACAGTTATCATGTTCTCTTTGTACAATGTAGCAACATTAGCATACTAATGGTGCTACATTTTTGCTTTTTTATTTTATAGTTGTTCCTAGAACTGAATGTATATGTGTGATGGTAACCCAGTCATGGTAACCCAGTCGATTGAAGTGTCATGTTTTTATATTTGATTTGAATGTAGGGGAGAGCGCCACCTGAGTTTCCTTGCCTAACAGATATGGACCCAGACAGAATCAGTTACTTACCGGGTCATGTAATAGACCAAATTTTGTCACATTTGTCAATTAAGGAAGCAGTGAAAACAAGTGTTTTATCTAGCAAATGGAGGTACAAATGGGCCACGCTACCGAATCTTGTGTTTGATAACCAATTTGTCTCTGCGGCTGTTCAGGACCATATGATTGTAAAGAACAAGCTTTTGAGAACTGTTGATCATGTACTGCTACTTCATTCTGGGTCAATCAACAAGTTCAAACTCTCCCATCGTGATCTCCTTGGTGTGACTGATATTGATCGTTGGACGCTTCATGTATCTAGAAAGGCTGTTAAAGAGTTTGTGCTGGAAATCTGGAAAGGACAGCGGTATAAGATACACTCGTGTTTATATTGTTGTCAAAGTTTGACTCATTTAGAATTGTTTAATTGTTGGCTTAAACCTCCATCTACATTTAAAGGCTTCAAGAACTTAAAGAGTCTTGATCTGCAACATGTTACCTTGGCTCAGGATGCTTTTGAAAACTTGATATCCAACTGCCCAGTGCTTGAACGGCTGACATTGATGAACTTTGATGGTTTCACTCATCTTAATATTGATACACCGAATCTCCTGTTTTTTGACATTGGGGGTAAATTCGAGGATATTAGCTTTGAGAATACTTTCCAATTAGCTGTGGTATCAATTGGTTTGTATGTGAACTTTGAAACCAATCAAAGTAGACTTCGTGGAGGCTATAGCAATTTGCTCAAATTTTTTGTTAATCTGCCGCACCTGCAAAGGCTAGAGATTCAGAGCTATTTTTTAAAGGTACAATGCTCATAACATCACTTTTCCTAAACAATTATTCTAGTTGTGTGAATAATGTCAAATTCTTGATCATTTCAATGTTTAATTAGAATATAAAAAAGCCCAATTACTGGTTTTTCTCCCACAAACATACTATATATGCATATGAATTTGTATCCACTAACATCTTTGAGTTGTGTAAAATCTAACTTTCTATGTATATCCAGTGGCGATAAAAATATTTTAATTATCCCCTTGTAAATTGGGTGAGTACTCATGGTATCCAATCTTTTATTTGGATTTTAATTTAGAATTAAATGACTAAAATGTTATAAAAAAATATTAACGATTGAAAATTGGTTTGTAATTTTATTTTAATAGATTATGTGTTTATGTATCTCTAAACTCCCTAATATGTGAAATGTGCATATCTATATTGAAATGCTCATATTGGACACATTATAGACTGATTTGTGATCCATTAATCTGTTTCTTGCTTCTGTTAGTATTTGGCAGCGGGGATTGTGCCAATAAATCTTCCAAGACCGTGCATTGATCTAAGTTATCTTTCTATACGAATAAACTTAAATGATTTGAAGGAAATCTCAGCTGCTCTTTGCCTCCTAAGAAGCTCCCCTAATCTACAAGAACTAGAAATATTGGTAAGTACTCCTTGTAAATTGTTGTGACTGATCTTTGCCTACTGTTTTGCTGTCCCACATACTGATTCATTTTTTCAGTGAAGTTATTAAGCTCTAGAATTTTCAAATCAGTTCAGTGTTGGAGATTTGGGTGTTTCTGAAATGGTTGCAATTGTGAATTGTGATGGCATGCAGGCTCGACAGGAGGAGAAGACTCTTATGATAACGCACAACTATTGTTGGGAAGATGTGTTTTTTTCTTGTCCAGAGATGCATATGAGAAATGTGAAGATAGATGGCATATCTGGTATCAAACCTGAATTGGATTTTATCAGCTTTCTACTTCTACACTGTCCTGTGTTGGAAAGGATGACTGTGATTCCTGTTTCAAACATGGAAACAGAACTGATGAAACAACTGTTGCGGTGTAGGAGAGCCTCAAGACAAGCTGAAATCATTTACCTCGACCCTTAGAGTGCCTTCAGAAACAAGTTTTACACCAATGTGGAAAGAACTCTGAAGCTAAAACTGGTAGTATTACTTTTCTTGGAAGAAGCTACTGTGTTGCATCAATGAATCTGTCATTACAGTTGAAAAGCTATTTTTTTATGCCAATGAGCACCAATATGTAAATTTGGTAAAAAGAAGCAATTATGTACATTCTCAAGCTGTAATGGCCAACATATTTGTGGCTAAAAACTTTCAGAATGAGTTTTCCAGATTCTGATCCTCTGGGATCTTATTAAATAAATAGGGAGTATGGATTTTTTTTTGCCGTTTTAAAGAAAGTTTGTACTTTTGTTGGATTCATATGTTTAAATTAAGAGATCTTACAAGTATGAAAGATAATGGCAAAACAAAAATAAAAAACAATGAAGAATATGGACTCCTTAGTCTAATCATATTTGCTTATGAACAAAAAATAAATCAGTGCTCAATAAGTTCTTAACAATTGAAATGCATCCCAAATTACATATACCAGTGTTTAAATCTTAATTTCAGTAGTATACAACATTGTCTATCACTAATAACAAAACCATATTTATAATTATCAGAACCAGTAAAATCAAATATCATAACCAGTAAAATCCACGCACGTATCGTTTAGTGGAGTTCACGTGTCAAAATGGGGGCTCGACACTCAGATGACGAACGCCAGGTGTCAAGCGAAGAGGATCCGAAAATCAGTTAGTGGAAAGCAGGTGTCGAATGAAGATGAGACGTTCGTTGTGACGTGTGCAGCAAAACTTGGATTTTCAGAAAATCTGCTCCACTCTTGCATGCACCCTCTTTTCACGTTTCTGAAGAACCTCATTCTCTCTTCCTTCTCTCTACATCCTCTTCATCTTCTCTCTGAGGAAACACTCATTTTCTCTCCTCCAATCACTATTCCAGCACCGTAGAAGCAATTTCGGCGTCAAGAGCTTTCGGATAAACCGTCCGGTTTGTGAAGCTGGGCTGGTAAGTCTTTCTCTTCGCTCTGTCGTTAGTTTTCCTAAACATGCAAACCCAGTTCTGGGTTCGTGTGTTGATCACCATTCTTAAAAAGAGTGGTTCTGATTGTGTCGGGTTGTCACTTGGTGTAGTTTGATTTGTCGAGCGTTGACGGTAGAAGAACCTATAGTGGTGAAATTGTATTTCTGCGTCTGGGAACATTCGGTCACGCTCAGAGGTAAGGGAAGCTTATTTAATTTAATTTTTATGATGTTGTACTGTATGAACGTTCGTTAGTTGACTGAATGATTTTGATGCATGATGGTTGATATGATTGGATTGAATGAACGTTCGTTTATTTAATGAGTGGAAATGAAATATGGCTGAGTTATGTTATAATGTATGAAATATATGAAACTTATATGATATGGATTGTATGAAGTATGAAAGTCGATTATAATATGAATGTATAAAGTTATGAAACTATATGTTTAGAAATGAGACAGATATACATGAACTCTGAATATGAAATTTCTCATATGAAAGTGTACGTTCGGTTTTTTTGGTAAACATAGTTGAAATGAGATTCTTTCATTTGGAGAGAATCCTAGTTCAGGACGAGCGTCCTCGTGTGGCAATACTATGCTTGAGCGTTTGGCCAAGCACAGTTGTATCTTGGTATCATGTGATAACTTAAATCTTTATATATATGTAATGGTATATTTTAGTTGTTAGTAAACACTACTTCAATAGTATCTGACTATATTTATCAAGCCTTTTATTTAAAGTTCATTAGTGCTCAGTCTTACACTAAGTGCTAGTACTGAGTAGTGATCGGTCTTACAACAAGCGCTTGTACTTGTTTCTTATATAATCTATATTGATGAAAAATAGCGTTCGTCTAACTTCAATAGAATTTTCTTCTCTACCGTGCTCGGTCATTGACTGACATTCGGTTTCTTCATGTAAATTCTTCTAAGTATTATGACTGAAATGTCTTGATGTGTCTGTATCGATTGATTCCGGCCTAGAGTCGTAACACTTGGCGAGGCCTTTTCAGCGTTCGGTTAGAGCTATCACGAGTCAGTTCATATAATTGATTCACTTGGTAATGAAGGATCGGTTCATCCGTTTCTTGCTATATTTATTACACTCGGTTTTTCTCTCAAACCGACCGTAATCTATTATGGAACTGGAGACCTCTCTGTCTCGTTCCAAGTGTTCGTCCTCGTTCTTAGCGAGGATTGAACGTTCGGTATCTGGTGTCATTATAAATCTTTGAACAAAGAGGAAATTGAAATGATTGACAATGAAAGATGAAACTAAGATGATTGATAATGGAAGATGAGGAGAATATGATATGAATGAAATGTGTTGGAATTATGAACGAGCGTTCCGAGGAGGAACGACTCATGTTTGAATATTGAATTTGTAAAGTATGACTGTGGGAAGCTAATGCTGGCGGTTCATCTTGATGTTCCGTGAGTACTTGTCCTCACGTAGAGGAGGGTAGGTCATGTGTGGGAACGGCAGGAGGTCCTAGTCCTTAGGGGTACTTTGGACAGATAGGACTAACCTCGGGTGGCAGCTGATAAGAGTATTCCAGTTACTACATCACCCGGGTGCACGAACGCCTGTAGCTACATAGATTTCATACAGTCCGGACAGTCAGTCTAGTGATAGGCTTTGTATGATACGTACGTTGAAATTTATTTGGTATTGGATTATTTGAAATGTATGTTTATGCATGAATTAAATTATATAAGCTTACCTTGCGTTTTCTGTCGTGTCTGGTTTTGTACGTCCGTCCTTGTCATTGCAATGATCATCCGTGTGGATGTGAGCAGAAGGAGACGAGCTGCTGGAAGAGGCGCTGGAAGAAGAAAATTTGGAAGAAATCGAAGTCAAAGACCGAAGAGTAGGACGTTCGGTCAATAGTCTAGTTATAGTAAGGTGATCGTTCGATCACCTTCTCTTTTGTTAAGAATGGTCGTTCGGTATTTTCTTTTGTAAGCCGTTCGGTCAGGTTTGCTTATCTTGTATTGTAACTCCTCTTGTAAAGCCGTTCGGCTATGAGCGTATGCTCGACTCTAGTGTATGACTGATCTGGAGTATTATTAATGTGATCATTCTATATTATAGTTTATTGCTGTATTTTTTTTGGATGTTACAATAATAAATAAAATAAAATGAAATGAAAACACTAGAAAAATCAATCACAGTTTTTTTTTTTTT